AATAACATTATTTTTCTCTAGTAGATGCAATTAGTTTAATCTGCTCTCTTATATCACAACATCATTAGCTGAATGTGAAAAATGGTTCTTTAATTGTTAATCCCTCCTCTTCTCAACCCCATCCTTAAAGAGAGATGTCTTTGTTTAAGCCAAGAATGCATCATAGTATTGTCACTTGGACTGGAAACAGGCTTGCTTTGTGTGTATTGTAAGGAATTTTATGATATAACCCAAGGAGCAGGGCTTTTCTTAGCCGGAACTTGCCGGAACTCAGTCTGGCACCTCACAGGTGGGCAACATTGCTATTCTAAGAGAATGAGGGAGGTGTTTATGGTGAGTTCCGGCACATCTTTTTCTAGAAAAATAGCACTGCCAAAGGTAAAAGGTAAAGGACCCCTGGATGGTTAAGTCCAGTCAAAGGTGACTATGGGGTGCAGTGCTCATCTCGCTTCAGGCTGAAGGAGCCAGTATCTGTCCACAGACAGCTTTCCAGGTCATGTGGCCAGCATGACTAAACCGCTTCTGGTGCGATGGGACACAGTGACAGAAACCAGAGCACACAGAAACACTGTTTACCTTCCCGCTGCAGCAGTACCTATTTATCAACTTGCAGTGGTATGCTTTCAAACTGCCTGGTTGGCAGAAGTTGGGACAGAGCAACAGGAGATCACCCCGTTGCACGGATTCAAACTACTGACCTTCCGATCAGCAAGCCCAAGATGCTCATGGGTTTACACCACAGCTCCACCCACTCCCTGGACCTGTAAATGACAGAACTATTCACATGAACTAATATTTGAGGTAAAAAGGCTGTGTTAACTCAAGTCCCAGTTATGTAACTTCACTTAGGAGCAGCCTCGAGTATACTATCTGATATTGCATGATGTGTGTGAAGAATGTGTGGATGACATTTCTGTGCCATGCTGCTATCAATAAATAGCAGGAAGGCATCTTTACAGCATGGAATAAGGTGCCTGTGCATGGGAGGGAAAGCAAAGAAAGTGATTATTTGATTTGATATTTGCATACCGCTTTTCCAACAAATGTTGAGCACAAAGCAGCTCACAATAATCACAATACCATTAAAAACAGTAATAGCAATCACTAGAATATGAAACACAGTAACGTATAAAGTAAACAATGACAACAATTTTACAAAAGCAATTGATACGATTCAATAAAGTAATAGTAGCTCAAAATATCAGAAAGAGCTGCTGAGCCCTTGGCTGGATGGTATGCTCTCTCTGGGAAGGGTCGTCTTCTTCCCTCAGTGCAACAGGCAGCACATTCCCAGGCAGCAAGATCATTCATGGTTTTTAACCTTGACTTCTTTTTCACTATGTGTGGATCCACAGATGTGCTTTCAGGTGGAAGTTCTTGGTATAGGTCTTGCTGCAGTCAGAGTAGGTGTGGGTGTCAGTCCATTTGTGGAACCATGAGTAATGGCCCCTCTTGGGGCTTGGCTCCCAGTTGCTCCATTGGTGCGGAGGGTTGGATGAGGTGGTCTGGCAGAGGAGGCTCCCATCAAAGAAAGTGGAGGAGACACTCTGCTGGTAGGGGTGATAGTTGAGAGCCAGTGTGGTGTAGTGGTTAAGAGCGGTAGACTCGTAATCTGGTGAACCGGGTTCGCGCCTTCGCTCCTCCACATGCAGCTGCTGGGTGACCTCGGGCTAGTCATACTTCTTTGAGGTCTCTCAGCCGCTTTGAGACTCCTTCAGGTAGTGATAAAGCGGGATATCAAATCCAAACTCCTCCTCCTCTTCTTCCACTGGAGCAGGTGGGCAAAGGCTGGTTAGTAAGGCAACTGACACTAGTGGCAAGGGAGGGTGGCTTGGCACTGAGACGTAGCCAGAAGTTCATCAGGGTTGGGAGATCATATATTGTTGTCCATCACAAGATAGCTGGGGGTAGAAGCTTCAAGGTTGAGCCAACCTTGAGAAGGTGCTTAGCCAATCTTTTCAAAACTCAGTTGATTTAGATTTCATCTTCAATAGTGTGTCCACTTTCTTAGAAGAGATGTCACTTTAATGATTAACACATTTATTATGCCATAAATATTTGTAAGTGTAAGAAGGTATTCATTTTGTTTAGCTCACAGCCTGAAAAATATAAATGAGAAATGGTTCTCATTCGTCTCAAGCTTTTGGTGAGGTGGATTATAAATCTAAATAAATGAAGTTTAGCTCATCTGGCAGCTCGCAGGACCACTTCCATCTGGCCTGCTCATTCCCCCCCAATAGACTGAGATCAAGGGAGCTAGAGGTAATAAAATGTGAATGCCAAGTCATAAGGAAAAGGTAGGATGCAATGGATTATGTAATGATGTGACCCCCAAATGGCTTGAGAATCATACAGAAAAGGTGATAAATCATATAGAAGTAGCTTGTGTATGTGTGAGGAAATGCCCCACCAGATCAGACCAGAAATGTGCCACTAAAAGTCACATTCAGTTTATATTGTAACTAAAGAAATACCTGTACATCCTCTTGTATCTCTAAAAGGATAAGTAGTATTTGTCAAGGACAAACAAAGAAGTTGAATGACCCTTATACAGCAAAGCAGCACACCTAGTTTTATAACTCTTCAGACCAGAAAGCCACAGTTTGTCTACAAGGTTGAACACAAGCTTGAAAGGCAGCAAATGAATTGGAGTGCTTCTAGAGGCGGGCTTAATACTGCAAAGATGTCATTAAAAAAGGCAAACATCATAATTAGCAGTAAGTATATATTAATGTTATTTCCTGCCAAAAAGGTGGATCTGGAATAAATGGGAAAAATATGAGCTGGCATTTTGATGCAAACAATATTGTATGGATACTATTAAAAAATCTGCATGCATGAACTTCACCAATCTCATAATAAACACCTGTCTGGAAACACCTATGATTCCACTAAATTAAATGGCAATTTATATGAGCTACACACATGATCTAATGATTTCTAAATGATTCTCATATGCCTACTTTGCATTCAGGCACTTGGATTAAAAATAATAATAACCTCTCAACTCTCTTAACTACTCCAGAACTGCAGGTAAAACAAAATTCCATGTATCTTCATTCTAGCCCACTAGTGAGGAAGAATCTATGTCTACAACCATAACAGATTATTTCATTAGCTTTTGTGTGGTTTCCTTGAGCTAATTAAGATCAATAATTTATTTCTATTACCTTGTGTTTTAATTCTTTCTTTTATTAAAATAGTTCATGTGTTATTGTTGAATTCCAAAAATTCTGCATCCTAAATATGGTGGGCACATAGATATTTGGAATGGGCTTTGCTAGCTGAGGACAGATTGTGGTTGGTGGGACAGTGGCCCATTGACCAGCCTCCACCGAAAAGGATAGACTTATTCAGTTTAATTACTGAGCTGCCACAGGAAGCACTTAACCATTGCAAGCAAAGTAGAGTTGCCAACTGACTGGGGGAGGGAGGGGAGAGAATCTAGTTTGCTTCTGTGCCTTTAAATAACAGTTTGATGTTTGGAATCAGCAGGTGAAGCTTTGCACAGCACAGGGATAGACATCTTCCAAAATTGTATCCCAAGCTTCTATATAGCTACAGAGGCCGGCTGAATAGTTGACAACTCTAGAGCAGAGAGAGTGTGAGTCAAGAGCTGGACCTTATCTTACGATGCACTTCTTAAAGTCAAAGCTCAAACCAGGCACATGTTAGATAAAAAAGCACAGAAGTCCTTCTGCTGAGCCATTACTATATGTGTCAGGTATCTTTGGAATTTGAACCATAAATCAGTTTTATCCTTACCAGTATTTGCTTGCTGATGCAAACCCACTCAGTTCCCATTATACATTTGTGTATATTCCCGCTCTCAATTTCTCAGAAGTTGGAAGGAGCCATTGGTTTGTTTTTACACAGAAGTTTTTGTTGGAAAGCATTTTGGAAAGCATACACTGTCATAAAAGCTATGCCACTACATTTTGTGCCCTGTACTGGATTAAATCAGTTACATCCTTGCATGGGACAGCTGCAAATTCCTGCATTGCAAGGGGTTGGGCTAGATGATCCTCAGTGTCCCTTCCAACTCTCTGCTTCCATGAATATCCCATAGCCCAAGCACATGAGGCGATATCTTCTGGTAGATCAGTGTGGGTGTCAAGTGGAAGGCAGGCTTACACTAGCAGTAACCAACCGGTCCAATGCACTTGTTTGCTGTCAGATGAATGGTACTTAAACACTGGTGATGGGAGAGCATCTTCTATGGTACCTGAGGGCAGTAGGCAATTGGTTTTTTGGGTGGTGGGTGGTGGGTTGAAGGCTATGTATCAAAAAACGAAACAACCCAGCCCTGTCCTCCAACAGTGGGAAATGGCTGGAGTGCTTACAAAGAATAGACAGATGGCTCCTGTCCATCTATCATCTGAGGCTATTGCCTCGCCTTGCCCACTGGTAGGGCCAGCTCCATCTGCTGCTCTTTCCAACCACTTCCTCTGGAAAAAGCCCACCTAAGTGTTTGAGGTTTTCAGCCTTAGTGTCTCCCCTTCTCTTGGACTCCCCCCACCATGAAGGTGACACCAGATCTCTCCCAAGTGAGATCTGTTTCATCCGCCGTGGCTTGACGTAGCTCAGCCTCGTGAAGATGTCAGGGGCTAAGCATTTTTATATGGAAACCTCAGAGCGAGTGCCAGACCGAGGGAACAACCCGCTCCTCAGCTCTGAGGATATTTGGGGTTAAAGCGCTTCCAAGGGAAGCACATCTGCGCCGTTCCGCGGAGACCGAAGCCCATCTCGTTAAATCTTTGGAAAGCGCGGGGAGTGGGTCTGTTTATTGTCACTTGTGTGGTGGAAAAACTGTCTCCCCCGTCTCCCTGGCCCGCTCCTTCCCGCCAGGTGTATGTTGCTTGGCCTCTGGCAGCGCCTGCCTGACTGGAAAAGAGACAGCGGAGAGAACTCTCCCCCCCCTCACAGGAGAGTTGGAGGGCTCTTCGAGGGCGCGCGGGAGCGAGCCGACAACAAGCGTGACGCTCGCGCCCGCCGAAAGGGGCGGGAATGTGGGCGAGCCTAGGGGTCAAGGCAGCCGGAGCTGCCGCCTCAGTCCGCCCGCTTCGCTGGATGAGCGGGAAGCAGCTGGCGAAGCAGCCTGGGGGCGGCGGCTGCCATGAACGGACCAGGCGAGACACGGCTGACGGGAGCGGAGGAAGGAGCTGAGGTAAACAGCCTTCCCGCGCCTGGCAAACTTCGGTTTCAAGGGCGGCAGCAGCCGAGTGGTCCGGGCGGGAAGAAGCCCACCGTCGGGAAGCAGTTCTACCCGTGTTACTCGGAAGTCCTCCCGTGTTCCTTGGAGGACTTGTTCCCGAGTCAGTGTGTTAAGGGGAGGCTTCCCGCCCCGGTCTTTGAGGGCTGCAGGTGAGCACACGGCTTGGCTCCTCTTGCTCACAGGTAGCGGGATCCAGCCTGGCTTGACTGCAGCCCAGATAGCTCCCTCGGTTAGAGGCGGGCGCTGAGAATGCCGAGGTGGCCAGTTCCACCCCGGTGTGGGGCAGCTGCGTGTTCCTGCATTGCAGGGGGTTGGGCTGGATGATCCTCGGGGTCCCTTCCAACGCGATGATTCTATGACGCTCAACTTTGCAGAGCGCGCGTGTGAATTTAAAACTCTCGGATGAATGGAGGTGGCCACCGGATTGCAGCCTCTTATCTGAGACTAAGCTCCAGTAGTGCTGAGAGTTAGCTCAGTGGCAGAGCGAGCCCATCCTGGGAAAAGCTGCGGGCAGGATCCCTGCATTGCAGAGGGCTGGGCTGGATGACCCTCGGGGTCCTTTCCAGCTCTGCCATTCTGTGATCTGCTTTGCATGCATGGAGAGCTTGCCAGTCAGTGCAGGCAACACTAGATGGATCAATGGTCCGGCTCCGTAAAGGCTGCTTTGTGAGAGATGCGGAACACTGTCTCTGCACATTAGTGTTTGCCACTTCTCCTGTTTCTCGTCCCCATTTCCCACCCGCAAACCCGGTTAATTTCTCTCTGCCCCCTCCAGCTTCCTTTCCCCATAACTTATTGCCATCTGTTCTTCGACAACCTCCTACGTTTCTCAACATCATGATCTTTCCATGGTTAATCGCTTTCTCATCAGCCCTATTCCTTCCCCACTGTTCATCTCACTTCTCCATTACTTAGCCTTTCCCCCAAGTTCTCCATAACTTTTGTATAGTTACACCTTTCTTAGCACGACACAACCACAGGATTGCCGCAATACGATTCAGCTAGTGGATTCCGAATTCCTTACTCATTTCCCCATCTCCTCAGAATTATGCCCCCCTTTCCTTCTTTCCCCTTTCTTTTTATCCTCCCTTTCCCCTCTCCATACTAAATGATTCCTATTGATCCTTCACTCCCTCATCAGTAACTGCCCATGGCTTTAGCCTTCAGTTTTACCTATTATCTTGTGGTATGTATTAGTTTTTGAAATATTCTGAGTCTTGTAAATTGAGCTGGTACTGGAGCATGTCATCCATCCATCTGCTTCAGATTTCTTTCTTGAGGCTGCAATCCTGAGCCCCCTTACCTGGGAGTAAGCTCCATTGATTACATTGGGATTTACTTATGAGAAAACTTTCACATGATTGCTCTTTTCTGGCCACATCAGTTTGGCTGGGATTGGTGCATACCTTCTAGGTAACCTGTCTGGTTGGTGGAATAGCAGCTTAGAATATTGATAAGAATATTGCTAGCATATGTTATGTGCAGTGATTTTTTCCTGGGGACATTCAAGGGTACGCAGTACCGGCACATTTCCCCACCCCCCCGCAAATGTTAAAAGTGTGGCACTCAATGTAACAACTTCATGGTGAGTACTGGCACATTTCTTTTCCTTTTCCTTTAAAACACTGGTTATGTGCAATTCAGTGGTGCTGTGTCCAGAAATAAGAATGTCTGTTGAATGGCATACCTTGGAGCTTCTTAAAATAATGGGTGCCTTGCAACCTGATTGTGTATGTGTATGGCAAATGACACAAAACAAAGGGTGTCTTTGAAAATGATAATAGGAGAAGCTTTTGAAGCTCCTACATAGCCAGATCAAATGAGAAACAACCTACATTTCAAGAAAGGTAACCTATGTAACTCATCCACAGACTTCACAAGTGATATGTTTTATACAGAAGCAATCCCTGCATAATTACTATTTTTATGTTGCTGCTTTACTTGCCTTTAATTGTTTAAGGTTGCATGCTTGCATACTTCAACTTATGCTCCCCCATAAGTTGAAATGCTAAAAACAAAACATTTTTTCTCTCCTTATCAGTCAACTGTGGGCTGTAAGTTCTCTGTGCTAGGAAGCGCACCACTGCTTTCAGGACAGTGCCTGATATGTTCCTGGAGAGAAATAAATGCTTAGCACTAAGTGTATTAGTATCAGAACTCTCCCACTACTGAATTGGCAAACTTGCACCTGAATTATATAGTTTCCATTGACGTCGCACTCCTAATCAAAGCATGTTGAGGCTTGCATATTATAGTGATTATCTCCTGGAAGTCCGACTCTTAAACTGACCTAATCAAAGTGGAATCGTGTATATTGTAATCATTATGGCCCAGAAGGGGAGCTAATTAGTCAGAATCTACTCAGCTGATTGTTCTTATTATTTAAATATAGATGGTATCAGCTCTTCACCAGCAATTTATAGCTTAAAATTCAGAAAGTTGAATAATATTGCTGTATTTTGCAAGGAATTATCAGGGAGTGCATTGAGTATGTGGGCTGAGAAAGGAGGAAGGAATGGTTGTGCAAATGGCCAGTCAACTCATCAATGAGATTCTCCTGGGTCACTTACCCTTATTTGGAGAAATGCATGACAGTGCTCATCCAGCATTACCATGGGGTTTCTGTGTTTTCATTGTGTATTTTTTTTAAATTACAGTAAATACTAAAATTGATATATGTGTGTTGATATCTTACCACTGATTTCATTTTTAAAAATTTCAATCAATCAAGTATATTCCATATAGTACAGTTACCTCAAGGGGAATTTGAGAAGCAAGTTTTAGAAATAAATAAGTAAATAAATTTGGCATCATTCTCTCCGTTTTCCTACAACTGTAAAGCATGGTGTTTCTCCTGCATTTATATATGCTTTTGAAAATGTATATTTTGCAGTACATACTCAGACCCCTAAATAGGCTCTAGGAAATAAATTTGGTCTACTGTGCTTTTACCTCAGTTTCCCAGAAGTTTTATTGATGAATGAGGAGCAGGGTGTTGTGGTGGATGGCTTCTTTTTTAAGCAAATTCTTTTCCTGTGGGAATGGTTGCTGTGATAGTGTTCTAATCCCCTTCATCTCCCAAGGCAGTGTATAATGTTATAGGTATTGGGTGCCAGAGTTTGTGGGTGCAAGGCACCCATGCTCCCTAGATTTAGTAAATGTTAGAATTTAACAAGAGAAGGTGCCAGATGTTTGATTTAGCAGTGCTAAAAGACAGGCTAAATGAGTTTTTTTCTGATCAAGAGATAACTTGGCAGTAGAGCCATCATGTAAAACAGAAGGAAGATAATGGGTGATTAACAAAGCAGTTACTCTCTGCCAAAGAGGGGTGGAAACCAAATCCAAATCCAAACTCTTCTTCAGCTTTGTGTTAGTGAGCAGAGAAAAGAAAGGTTTTAGGATTTCAGTTTGCTTGATGTAGGCTGGGGAGAAATCCTTTCAGTCTGATAGCTGCAACAAGGAAGGGCAAAGAGCACCATGTGGACTGACAAGGACAGGCTTTAACAAAGAGAGAGAGAGCATGGCTGATTTCCCTGTTCTTGGACCCAAGCCTGCTGTGCCTATAGGGGAAGCAAGAGACCCTCCTGGAATGTGAATGCTCTGCACTCCTTCCTTCTAAACTCAGGTTATATATATGTGTAAATAAACCATATATCATAAAGACGCCGCAGTCTCCACTGTGCCCCATAGTCCAAAAGGAAACACAGACCCTGGATAAAGTGTGCCTGCAACCCCTGGAATCTCACACCACTCGTGGAGATTGGGGTGATGTGTAACAATATAGTATGATACCTCTTGCATGGTCATTTGGTGACTGGAGGCTCTAAGAGCATCCTATGAAGGGACTATGTAAATACAACTGTATGTATGTTATGTAGTCTACTGGAAAGGTAGACTTATGCATTTATGCACATGCATAAATGCAAATCATATTTATTCTCTCATTTGTTCACACCCTCATGTGTAGGATGCACACTAAGCACTGCATAAACCATGTTAAGTGTCTTCAGAGGTTGTGTTAACCTTTAAGGTGCCCCAAGGCTCGTTGAATGTTTTGCTGCAAAATACTAACAAACTTATTGTAGCATAAGCTTTCATGGACTTAAGCCCACCCCGTACATCTGATGAAGTGGGCTTAGGTCCACAACAACTTATGCCATAATAAATATGTTAGTCTTTAAGGTGCCACAGGACTCATTGATTGATCTGTGTGGTGGGAGAGACAGCATGGCACATTTTGTTCAGTTGCATCCACAGGAAACCTGTTGAATAGAATACCTCTACTCAATGGATATGTCATATATGTTTTTGCCATGGGTAAGCAGGTTAATTAATTGTTAGGAGTTTTGGACAATGTGAATTATTCTGAAAGATTCAATAAAAAATGTGTTCAGTATTGCAGAACTTTTACTCAGCCCAATAGGGTCACCATTATGGTCTAGTTTCAGCTCCTAGATTAGCTGAATTATTTAGACCTGCAACTTTACTGCATGTATTAAACAATCCCCTTATGCCTCAGCAGATGTATGGTAGTATTTCAATGTATTGTTTAAGGTAAGATTAAGTCCTAGTTTTATACCCTGAGAGATCATACATATAAATATAAACAAGAAATACATGATTGGGAGCCAATCAATCAAAGCAGAACATGCTCACATACGCTGATTCTTCAAGGAACCCTTGGCTATTCAAGATGTGTACTACAAATGCAGTAGAATGCACTCCAATATATCAGCACACCATTATTTATATGAAAATTGTTTTTTATTCTATTTCCCCTGTCTCTATGTTCTCAATATATGTAGGTGTTTGAGCAGCATGAGCAGCCCAAAGTTTCCCAAATACTGATTTCTGCCAACTAATAATAGATATATTTTTTTTAAAAAAGTCTCATCCAGCTAATATCCATGAAGACACAGTCTTGTTGAACACACATTAACTGTTGATCCCATTTAGTCATAATATAAGCTGGGTTCAACCATCACTATGAATAATTCAAGTATAGTTTTGAGGCTCATGGTAATTTTTTGCAAGATGAAAAGTGTGGTGAAATTCTTCTAATTATATAGAAGAACTGTATTCCACCTTTAAAGTATTTCAGATTGTTTTCAATTTACATTTTCAAACCCTTATGATTTACTTAACATGACATAAGCTTGCAAACATGGTTATGCAGGGGTGGATCCAGACTTGCCCTTTGAGTGCAAGGGCTTCATCTGTTCATTGAAAAGGATGCTCAAGCTCCTGGTGGATGAAGGAGAGATTTATGTCAATTTTGGCAACTTTCCACCTGCAGCTCTGCTCATCATTTCCCACCCTGCCCCCAAACCTTTGGAACAGATTTTGGGAATTGCAGGGGATGCGAAGAGGAGGGGGAACTGGAACACGACCTCCCTGCTTCCTCCAACAGGTAGTGTCTTATGGGTTGGGGATTCAACCCAAAGTCTAGGTATGATAATATTGCCAAGCACTTCACTGACTAGTAGTAAGTCCAAGGATAATGCTACAGAGTTTAGTTTTGCCTAGATGAATGAGAACACTGTAGACTTAGGTTATCTTTGTATTACTTATTTTATTTACAAAGGTGAACAGGTCATAGTAAAAGTAAATAAAATCATTCAGCTACTGATTTTGCATCAGAATCCCAAAGGCAGCAGTGTTTTGCCCACTTCCCCGCTTCCCTCAAAAACTACTGCTAGTTCAGCTAAGCTCACAGTTATAAACCTCATATATCTTCCTTTGCATTCAGAGTCATACAGCAAAGACTCCAATTGGCCTCCCTGCCACTTTCCAAATTTGGGAGGATTCCCAAGACTGGAAACAAATTCCAGCCACGAAACTTCTCATTTGTGCCTGACTGATGTGTGACCAATCTTGTGAGACAAAGCCATCAGGCAGATGTATTCACAACGAGACAGTTAAACATAATATGTTTTCGATTTTGACTTCTATTACATGATCGCTCATTGAAATAGTGTTTTGTGAGTTGTTTTTTTAAAAATGTCACAGATTAGGTTCAGGATAGTTTTTTCTTTTTTCTTTTTAAAGCAAGCTAAAGGTTTACTTGTATAATCAGACTCTCTGCATTAGTGAAATGTGAATATTGGGGAAAATAAAATTTACATTAGATAGCATGCAAGTGGGACCTGCAACAAAATGTTGCAGCAGGGTGGACTGCTGCTGTCCAGGATCCTAGCCACTCCACTCTATTCCACCTGCCTCTGGTTTTTTGTTTTCCCTTCCAAAAGTAAGCATTTCATGGTCACTGTCCACACTTGGTTATCAGTGAATTGGTTTTAGGAAGTTCCACCTATAGATTTTTACCTTAGAGAGGATGAAGATGACAACGATGATGATTATCAAACTTTGAGTACTTCTTTATTGTGTATGTGGATAGGGCCCTTTAGGCCACACAAGCAACATCAACCACAGCTGGAATATCAGCAGTAGAAAGAATGATTGGCAAAAACAGAATGGAAGATACAGAAACTAGGTACTCATTTTCAAGGTGTGGAAATCCCACTGCAGAAGAATAGCTCATGGAGGCTTACTTATATGGGCTAAATTATTTTGTTGAAAGATGAGAGCTTTCAGATATATTGCTGTATACTTTTTGGGGAAAAAGAAATGCCCTTTAGCAGTAAATTCTGTTCCTACTTAAGTATTTCTCAACTTTGGTTTCAAGATTTCAAATGTGACACATGCTTTGTTTACATGTGTCTCAGCTGCTGCCTCCACCCTTGCTCAGTCCTGTCTTTTTTCCACTGCCTATCTATGCATGATCACCTAAAGGTATATAATACTCCATATGTGTGACCCATGTAATTCCAAATTATGCACAGGCTCCACTGCAAATGTCCAAGTGAATGTGTAGAGGACAGGGCTAGTGAATACAATTTGACTTTCCTTTTTTGTGCATCCCCCACCCCCCAACTGTCTGAACAGTGGGATTTACTTCAAGGTAAGTGTGCATGGGCTTGCAGCCATAATTAGTTACCGGTAGTTAGCTGCTCTGAAATACTGTGCCACATCACACCTCAAAAGAGTTGTGCAGATGCAATCACTATTACATAAATGTTGGAGTTTCTGCAGTGTATGTCAGCTGAGTTGAGCAATATATTGCCATTTCCTACATTTTAAATAGTTTTTTTTTAAATTTAATGTCTTACAGATGCCTGGTGTTTTCCTGATATGTTTTGAATGCTGAGCTTGCCTTTCTAACAATGAACAGTTCAAAACCATCAGCGTTGCTTGGAACTGGTGTATTCTCCAATACTACCTGTCCCACGGAAAAGAAGATCTCTGTGTTTTTTTCTGTCATCTTCATGACAGTGGGGATTTTATCCAACAGCCTTGCAATAGCAATTCTCATGAAGGCGTACCAGAGGTTCAGACAGAAATCAAAAGCATCTTTTTTGCTTTTTGCTAGTGGCTTGGTTATCACAGACCTGTTGGGCCACCTCATCAACGGAACCATTGCAGTATTTGTATATGCCTCTGACAAAGACTGGATTCGATTTAACCAGTCAAATGTTCTCTGCAGCGTTTTTGGCATCTGTATGGTGTTCTTTGGACTATGTCCCCTTTTTCTGGGCAGTGTGATGGCTGTTGAACGCTGCATTGGAGTCACCAAGCCGATATTTCATTCAACAAAAATGACTTCTAAACATGTAAAGATTATGTTGACTATGGTATGTCTCTTTGCCATTTTCATAGCTTTACTGCCTATACTTCAGCTAAGACCTTATCAAATCCAGGCATCAAGGACCTGGTGTTTCTATAAAACTGAGCACATTGAAGACTGGGAAGACAGATTTTACCTCTTACTTTTTTCATGCTTGGGTTTACTGGCCCTTGGTATTTCATTTTTGTGCAATGCTGTCACAGGGATTACACTTCTAAGAGTCAAATTTAAAAGTCAACATAGACAAGGCAGATCTCACCATTTTGAAATGATCATTCAGCTCTTGGCTATAATGTGTGTCTCTTGCATTTGCTGGAGTCCATTCCTGGTAAGAGGTTAATTATTTTGCCAGTTTTTAAAATGCATGTTTAATGTATGGTGTTTCTCATTTTTAGCCACACGTTTTATGAAAATGCATAATGGACAACAGAAATGGATGCTCCTGATATTAGAACTCACATTATTGTTTTCAGTAGCATAGTCCTAGTGCAGGGGTTGGCAACCCGCGGCTCCGGAGCCGCATGCGGCTCTTTTACACTTTTGTAAAAGGATCCTCGGGGACCCTGAGCAGAAAAGCAGAAGCGCCAGAAAGAGGAGGGGGATGGAGCTGGGCAGCCGAGCCGGGCAAAGCAAGGCGGCGGCGGCAGCGGAGCTTGAGAGGCGGCGGCTGCTGGGATGGAGGAGGAGGAGTTGGCGGCGGCCGGAGAAGGGCTGCTGCTGCTTCTGCCGCCGGAGGGAAGTTCTGCCAGGCAGCTTCATGGCTCATAGCTTCCCCCAGGGTAGGACGGGCGGCGGCGGGGCACGCTCTCCCAGGGCACGCTCTCCCCAGCCCCGCGCGCGAGGCACCTGAGGCGAGGGAGAGAGAGTGCACGCGCTCGAAGGAAATGGCGGGGAGGGGTTTTTGTGTGTGTGTGTGTGTGTGAGAGGGGTGGCGGTGGTGCTTCGGGATCCTTTTCCGTGCCTTGCTTCTGAGTGGCCGCCGAGTTGAGGGAGAGCACCTGAGGTGAACCACAAAATGGGCCCGCCCTCCCTGTCAGGGAGGAAGGGGTGAATTACATCAGTGACGAGGAGGGGGTCCAGAGGTAGCCAGCAGGTGCCGTGATGCAGCATCTCGGCCTCAGAGAGAGGCGGGGGAGCACGAGAGCAATTGCAGAGGGAGGGGGGGCTGTTAGGCACCAAAATCCTGCATGCGGGATTTCCCCCGTTCTCTCGTGCCTATGCAATTCCTGCCCTTCTCCCTTCCCCCTCGAGATTTGCTTCAGAGACAAGCAAATGAAGAAGAAAGGGAAGAGTATTAGCTGATATGTCCCCGGATCCCATGGAAAGCACCACAGATTCCTTTGCTTACCAGCTCTTTTTATTTTAAGTTGGCTTCAAACCTGTAATTGTGCAGGTGTATGTACCGTATTTTTCGCACCATAGGACGCACCGGTCCATAGGACGCATCAAGTTTTTTTGGGGGGAAATAAAGGAAAAAAAATTATTTCCCCCCCAGGCGCTTGTGGGGCCGGCAGCGGGGAGAAGCGCTCTTCTCCCCGCAGTCCGCCTTCAGATCAGGTCCGGGGACAGCGGGAAGACACGCTGCGTCTCCCTGCTGTCCCCGGAGCTGGGGCAGGCAGCGGGAGAAGCGCTCTTCTCCCCGCCGCCCGCCTTCACATCAGGTCCGGGGACAGCGGGAAGACGCGCTGCGTCTCCCTGCTGTCCCCCGGAGCTGGGGGCAGGCAGCGGGGAGCGCTCTTCTCCCCGCCGCCCGCCTTCACATCAGGTCCGGGGACAGCGGGAAGACGCGCTGCGTCTCCCTGCTGTCCCCGGAGCGTGGGGGCAGGCAGCGGGGAGAAGCGCTGCTCTCCCCGCCGCCCGCCTTGATATCAAGTCCGGGGACAGCGGGAAGACGCGCTGCGTCTCCCAGCTGTCCCCGGAGCTTGCGGGGCCGGCGGCGGGGTCTCCCCGCCGTCAGCCTCCAAACCACTTCGGGAGACAGCGGGATGGCGGCGTTCCGCCTCCCTCTGTCCCCCGACCTTGTGGGGCTGGCGCTGGGGCTCTCCTGAAGCCTGGAGAGCGAGAGGGGTCGGGTCGCACCAAACCCACTCGCTCTACAGGCGTCAGTGAAAGCCGGCATTCGCACCATAGGACGCACACACATTTCCCCTTCATTTTTGGAGGGGAAAAAGTGCGTCCTATAGTGCGAAAAATACGGTATGTATACATATACACACATAAATATTCATATCTCTTCCCTCTCACCTTCCTTTCACCCATGATGAGAAAGTTGCACCAGCAGAAGGAATGGATATGTGCTGTTAGTAAAAAGAGAGGGAGTTGAACTGCAGGGAGGGACAGACACTTTTCTATGTATTAATTTGTATAATGTCCTCTATGCACATGGTGCTTTGCAAAAAATGGATATGAGAGGTACCATACCCCTCTTTGCTATCTGAAATAGACTCAGGGAAAAGAGAGAGAATGGGGGAAGGGGAAGAATGTATGGTTATTTACATTTGGCTTGTTTTGCGGCTCCCAGTTTTTCTTCTTCTTTGGAAATGGGTCCAAGTGGCTCTTTTGGTCTTAAAGGTTGCAGACCCCTGTCCTAGTGGAACGCAGGTCTTTGTATTTGTAAATACCATACAGTTTTCACTATGAACCCGATCTAGCCCAAATTAACGATTTTTAGATCCCATTGTATGTGGTGTAAAAGTTCTTCTTTGACTAGATTGCATTTGCTATATATGTCTTCGAGATCAGTTTGTGCAATGCCTTAGTACAGGCATAAGCAAACTCTGGCCCTCCAGATGTTTTGGAACTACAATTCCCATCATCCCTAGCTAACAGGACCAGTGGTCAGGGATGATGGGAATTGTAGTCTCAAAACATCTGGAGGGCCGGAGTTTGCCTATGCCTGCCTTAGGATCTTTGATAATGTCCTTTTCCACTTATGGTAGGGTTGCCATATTTCAAAAAGTGAAAATCGGGATACAAAAGTTGTTGATCTATTTTGGTAAAATCGCAAGAAATTGATGATTTTGAGCTATTTTAAAGGAAAAGTATCAAAAACGACATTGCCAACATGGATTGCCATATGTACAGATTTCCAGATTTCCCCATACATTTTTGCTGGTTTATGCCTGGACACTTCTTCCGACTGCAGTATTCCAGGTATGTCTGCAAAATTCCAGACATATGGCAACCCTAACTTACGGTGTCTATGGTGAGTAAACATGTATAATGGGGTTCAGGGGAATGGAATGGTATTGCACACATTGTCTCTGGCCAAACCTACTCATGCTCATTTGAATAGTGGGAGAAGCCATCATCATGCAGCTGTACTTGTGTTAGGCTTCCCTTCACCTTGCTTTTTCAGTTGTATTACAAGAGGCTGTACTACGAACTTCAAATGACTATAGGTCGGGTGTGGGTTCTGCTGCCATAGTCTCATCCCACTGCAGTGTGTTCTCTCAAAGCAGGCAATGTCTCAAAAGGGTGTTAAAGACTAAATGTCAAACAGCTGCACAAGTCTGTGGATTGCATGTCTGCTTTATTTATTACCGCTGAGGTTTTTGGCAGAAGGAAAACATAGGTACAACAGAAACAGTCAGTGCACATTAAATTCAACAACTTGGTTATAGGACTGCATCATTGGGTAGACTAGCATCAGATCAGCAAAATTTTTGCAGATGAAAATACTGTATTTAAAGGGATCCAAGAAAAAAAGTAGCTGCGGAATGCATGAAAACATAAAGACTGATATTGTAGCAATGCAGTAAGTTAAAGTTGTGTGAATAGTTTGGTAATCCATATCACTATGACTAAAGCAGAATGATATGAGAATGCATAATGGGACTGATTACAATGTTTACCAGTATTTATAGAGTGCCTTCATGTACTTTTTCTTTGTATACATGTGAGTGATAGACAGATATAGGTTGCATTATACTCTTTTTTTATACAGTATGTGTGAAATTTGCAAAATAATTCCAATACTTTAGTGCTTCCTGGTTGTTGCAGAAATTAAGTTTTTACTAATTCATATCACATTTAGCTGTGCTTTACAGTGCTGGAGTGTCAGCAAGAGCAAGACAACCAAAGTCAAATCTAACTTACAAATATTCATGTTGTGTACCTGACTTGGGAATGATATAAGCAGGATCGACACGGATGCAAAAATTAAACTGATATGAAAAGGCCCCCTCTTATTATAGTTCAAAGCAGAAACATTTCATTAATTACAGTGTACATTCAACAAGAGATCAAAAATGAAGCTAAGGCTGGGAACAAAACAATGAATGTGATGTAATAGAAGCCTGTTTTTCATTTAGCTATGCGTATTTCTCCTGGAATGCTATGGTCTGAGTTAATATGCACTAGTCACCTCTTCTTTGTCTCTTTTTTTCTTGAGCTGATTCCAATTTTTCTGAACTGATTCTAAAAAGAGACAGTAGATACTCTTAAGGATTAGAGTTTAACCATTATATGAGACTTTTTTTTTTTTAAAGTGCAATTTAGCATAATAGGATGGAGTCTGTTCAAGCAACTTCTTACACACTGGCTTTGAGTAAGGCTTCTGTGCCTCCTTTTATACACAAAATGAGAATAGCTGTAATATATCACACAGGTTATACGAAAATAAAGCAGCTAGCCTAATTTAATGGACTTGTTTCTTTTTTTAAAAAAAAGTTTTATTCGATTTTATAAAGAGAGATACAAAGATTACAGTGGTACCTCAGGTTACATACGCTTCAGGTTACATACGCTTCAGGTTACAGATTCCGCTAACCCAGAAATATTACCTCGGGTTAAGAACTTTGCTTCAGGATGAGAACAGAAATCGTGCTCTGGCGGCGCGGCGGCAGCAGGAGGCCCCATTAGCTAAAGTGGTGCTTCGGGTCAAGAACAGTTTCAGGTTAAGTATGGACCTCCGTAACGAATTAAGTACTTAACCCGAGGTACCACTGTACAAATATTTAGGGTAAGAATTAATAATTACATTATATTTACAATGTCAAACTGTTTTAGACAGACTTAAGTGGGATGCTATAGATTGAGGAATCTGGAAAAACACCTTGCTTTAAAAAGACAAGCTGGAGATTAAAATTTATGACACTGTTAAATTGAAATACAATCGGCACGAGAGGGATTCTGGAACCTCTACAGAATGGATGTGTCCAATACTCTGACTGTCTGCCGTACATAATTGGCACTCAGCTTGAAAAGCTTCTATTAAATTTAACTGGACTTCCAAGTAAATGAGCTGAAATCTATGAAACCTGTTGTATACAGTTCAGTATCGTTTATCTTTCCCTTCTACTCACCCCAAAAGTGAAGGCAACTGGCAACTGCATTCTTCCTTTCCCACAAGAAATTACCATAATATTTTAGTTCCCTGTGTGTCACAACCAAAGAGGCAAGACTCAAAAAGTTTAAATGAACTGGGCTATGTTTGTTCATATATTAAACTGAAAATAGATGTAGGCAGAGAAACCAAGATGTGGGGTCTAACTAATAACAAAACCTTGCCTAGGCCAAGGGTAGTTCTTCCTCTATTGCCTCCCCCCTTTCAGGTGAGGTCCCTCAACTCCAAGCATGGATTACAGGTTTACACAAATGTGCTCCATAACCATGGCAGCAGGTCCCACAGCTCTGAATGTGGTTCTTGAGACCACAGCCTTCCTCTGTAATGGTGCCTAAGAGTGCTCACCAAACCTTAACTAGATCATAATTTCCTGCATCTACCTGCCAGTGTGGCCAATTAACTTATTTAATGACTCCCCCCACTCGCCACTAAGTACACCCACCACATCAGTACAGAGTAGATAAAAAGAAGCCCACCAGCTCAGCCAATCAGTTGATGAACAAATAAAATCCTGCTTGGTTCCACAAAAGGTGACCAGCAAAAGCAAGCACTGTCTGTTGGGTGGCAGGGTGAGCGGTCTGCTGAACTGGAGGGCAGGGGTTAAATAGCCCTCACATCAATCCTGCCCCTTCCCCAGCATTGCTGCAGTGTTGATCTGTATGCTGAAGCTGCTTGCCAGTCCCCTTCATTTCCTGAGCGGCTGCAAAAGCTTCTCAGTGCCACAACTGCTTAGGGTCACGACAGGCATGGGATTCTTCCAACCCAAGTACGAAATCACCCTAACCATTTGATTCTCCAGGGTCAAAGAGAACCAAGAGAGCTATGAACCAAATTTCAGTGACCTTTGGTGCTAGAAGTTGTGGAATTGTGTACAGCTTAAGCAGTTGTAGTTTTTCTTTTGGAAGCTGTTCATATATCACGTTTTGCAAATAGTCCTTTTTGTATATATTTTAAATTAGAAGAACTGGCAGATCTGCCTTGCTATGAAATCGGGCTGGTTATTTTTCAAGGCCTGTCCTCATGTATTCACAATTAACAAATTATATTTACTGTGCATGGAGTCATGGTGATGATGACTCTTCAGTCTGCAAGGCTTATTGTGTGAACTGGTTCTTAATTTCAGTTCAATTTATTGTGATGGTGATGGACTTTAGTAATGCATGTACGTAAGCAGCTTTCTATTTAATGCTAGAATGCTTAACACTTGGGCTAGGGTGGCAGCTGTCGTCTTTACTTATTTATGGCTACAAACTACAAATCACTGCAGCTACAAACTACAAATCACTTCAACTGGCTTCATTCTATTGATTTCAAAGGGGATTAAACCTATTAAGAACAAATTCTCATTTTAAGCAGTTTGAAATTCGTAGTCTGTATCCTCCATGGATGGCTATGACAGGCTTATTTTGAGCACATGAAAATGATAATCTAGATTTATGCCCATAATTATTTTCACAGAAGTGAGTGGGAATACTTGTGAATGCAGACTCACACACACCTGCATAAATCTATAGAGGATTGTGATCCTATTTGTATTTTTCTTTTGGAAGTTATTATCTTGAATTGTGAGTCACATTTGCTTTATTTCAAACAACTCAAAAGGCACCACACCATTTCCCATTGCTGTATTACTTTAACTTTAGTTGGAGAGTAATGAGGTGTGTGTAGACAATGAAAATAAAAATACTGTCAAAAGTTATTGAGAATTCGGCATTGCTGAACCGAAGGAGATTAGACCATATCAGAAATAGGAACTTTTGTGCTGGATGATAACACACCATAACTTCAAATAATCTTCTGTCAGGAAAATAGAATTGGTGAGAGGCAAATAATTCAGTGTTTAGGAAGCAAGAACAAAGGAGCCCAAGATGAAAGAATGTCCTCTAAGTCTTTTTACAATTCCAACCGTGCACTATTGTCAGTTTTCTCTATGGGTATAACTGCATGCAGGAATATTTTGGTGATATGCAAATTGCTTGAGTAACAAGGTTCGTTTAGGTTCTTTCCTACTTCTAAGTACGCAGTTGCTTTGCAAATTGCTCCACCTAGGGTGGGATTTGCTGACTTCTCTTGATGGGTTCATGAGCAAAGTAGCTGATACAGTTACTGAGTCTAGGTGCAGGGAGATCTGCAGAAATAACCATTATTCAGTTTTCCTGTATTGCACTTTTTTAACATGTCTGTGGAGCTCATTGGAAATAAGCATCAGCACAGTTGGTGGGATGTAGTGTGTATGGAAAGGGGAGTAGTGAAATTAGTAGTGCTTGATCCACTCTCATTAAAAAGCAGTCCACGCACCTGCTGTCGTAAGTGGATTGGTTTGGGGCCATATTTTTCAGAAGTTATAGAATTATCCCTGGATTGGGGAAGTTGAATTTACAGCTTGATAGGAGCTGTTTGAGGGGTGTGTGTGTGCCACGTGGACGACACTACTTAAAAGGGAAACACAAACACACAGTAAACCCAGGTGTAGACAAACCCTTAGATGCTTCACATAGGAACACAGGATGCTAGCACTAGCTCAGTGCTGTTAACATTGACAGGCAGCAGTTCTCCAGGCTTCACAGAATTACCAAGCTTAGATAGAAATAGGGTTACTTAAGAGCTATCTATAAAAAGGAATTGTACCATTAACCAAACCACTTAAAAGGAACAGGAACCTCTTTGGCAACCCCGAGTCTGTTGATACACAAAAGGGACTTGTATTAAATGATACATTTTTTTTTTTACCCCCTTGGAACCTGGTTTGTTCTACTTATTTTCTCTCGCCTTCCTTATATAGGTACCTTTTCTTGACAACATGACACACATGGGTTGAACTCATGAAGATAGCCTTTTTCCTACCCTGGGAGAATGGGTGCGGCAAGGCCAAGCAGGATTGCAATCTTGCCTTTAGCACACATTGGTTGGTGGTTTTGTACAATGAAGGTTACTGAATCAAACTAACGTCTATAATAAATAATGTAATCTTCAATGATAAGTAATAGAACCTGGTGAAGCTTGCGCATTACAATATTAGAAAAGTCAGAAAGATCCTGGTTCTATATTTGTTTTTGCTTTTCTGTTAATGTTGACATGCTAATGTGACAATAACGCCAATGCTGATAAAACTTTTTTTTGAAAGGGGAATCAAGATTTAAAGCTGAAAGTCTAAATTTGCTTACTTTTGGGGTCTTCTGCCGCTGGCCAGCTTATTAGGGGTACATAGCAGAATTGAAAATGTACCTAGCAGTGGTCTTCAGCTGCTTAGAATGAGCACAGCAGTGATGTTTTCAATACTTTCTTCTTAACTACAAGGGTGTTAGACATTCATTATGATTTTCAAATTAAAAGCAAAGTTCAATGAACTCCAAACAGATGTCTTCCGGCTAAGATATTTTTAAAAAATGCTTTGTGTACCATCATGTTGTCTGGCAACTTCAAATCCGCGCGTCTAGGTTTTAAAACAAACAGAAATGAATTTGCAAACAATGTTATATGAGCTAATTGTCAAATGTTGTTACTCTTATTTAATATTTCGGTATTCTTTCTTTTGACTGTGAAGTCATTGGGAATGACATTCGTTTTTAATATGCTATCTGTGTAGGATAAAAGTAAAATGGGGTTTCAGCTGAAGGATTCATTTAAAGTAGAGGTCCTAAGCAAGTCTTATTTGGATGTTTTGTTGAAATCAGAAGGTCTCCCCAGTAATTGTGTGTTAGGTATATTTTATGTTGATTCATTTCCAGTTATGGGATTGTTGCATTTGTCCATGTAAACCACCCTCCAAACACTGCTGGCCATCAGTTGAAGGAAATGTAGTGACATACCCACTCAAAGAGGTTCATTAATTGGGATTTGTGCATGTGTTTGGTGGCTTAGTGCTTGGAACTGGACTTCATATCTTGTCATGTAATTCTGAAAGGTTCTCTTCCAGATTTCATATGTGAGCTGATTTATTTCCTTGTGTTATTTTGAAATGTCACATGCAGAATTCCATAATGTTTATAATAGTACTGTTTTGTTATCTAAACAGCCCTGTTCCTATTTTATTTCTCTTTCCCACTGATCTGTTAAAAGCAGTTTTATTTCACAATATGGTTCCATCTGACTCATTTTTTTGGGGAACTAATACCTCCATTTGTAGGAAGACTGGAGAGCTCATTGACTAATACTTTAGTGTTTTTGTGTTTTTTCATGGGAGATATTCCAGTAACAAAGTTAAGAGAATGAAAATGCCCTGAAGTCACAAGTAATGGAGATTTCTATTTCTTTTGAATTCTGTGTAGAAAATATAATCAGAAGAAGAAGAAGAAACCTTCTCATTACAAGTCTTTTCTTACTTTGTTATTTTGAAGTGTCCCAAGAGCTCTTGTGCATCAGCAGTTATTTAGTTGGGATTGCAGAGAGAGAAAGAGAGAGAGACAGAATAATATGGTGGTGGAATGGAAAAGAATGCATTTGAGGAAAGATCTTATTCAACTATTCAACATTGCTCTTTTGTGAGAGGACCTATTTTTAAAAAGGGAAAAACCCATTAATTTGAGATGAGAAAACCCCAAAAGTAATTACTACTATCATTTCTACTATGTGGTTTAGATTAATATTTCTAACAAAATCCTAATTATGTGCTACCTATTAGGAAGTGAACTTTATTTCTGACCAAAAGAGGGAATCTTTTATGTCAAAACTCTGCAGGGTCTGACACTTTCTACTTGTGGTTTTCAAAGATTACTATCGCTCATGTTCTCTTATTACTTTTTCACGCCTTGTTTCTTCCCAACTTTTTAGAAAAAGAGAAATGGTCCCATTTGTTGTTATTAATAACTCCTAGTCTCATTGGAAAGTGAAGATAAATTGTACTTGGAATACATTTCCTAACAGAAGGAGAATTTCTTTACAATTCTTAATAATGGATAATTTGGCATTAGTTATGGAACATTATTTTATTTTTTGTATGGTCCTGGCTTGTCAATATCTGATAGCTTTGGACTAGTAATAATTGTAAATCAGGTGACTTACTAGTTCACCCCTCCTTCTTTTCCTAAACTACAAATGACTGTGGATAGGTAGACAGCTCCAACAATTGTGGACTAATGGCCTTTGTAGTCCTATTTATATGCAATTTCATTCCAAAATTTTGTTTTTGGGGTAGAATAAAATTCTGCAATGAAGAATACTTGGGAATTCATGGGCTTAATTGAAGTTTATGGACCTAACTTAGTTCATTATTTTATTATTTTCAATAGATCTGCCGTGAGTAGAATTTAGTTGGACATCACCCAATATATCCCACTGAAACCTATGAGATTTAAATGTGCTTAACTTTAGCTGGTATCCTAAGGGTGTGGTTCAAACACATCTGTGCTGGATTTGGAGGTGTCCCTCTGCCCAACCTTGCTGGGCCCTGCCTGCAAAGTGAAGTTGGCATTATTCTACTGATGCAAAACACCACACCCACCCACATTATGTTCACTGAACATGTGGGTGGGCAGAAATGCTGCAGCTGGGATGCCTGATGGTGCCTGAGCTCAACTCCACTACCATAATTGTTGTTCTGCTAGTTTGTTGCTCTGCTTGGTAGGATTGCACCCTAAATAAGTGTTACCTAATGGGCATAGATATTCCACTAGTGCCAAATAATTCATCCCCTGGCTCCATGGGATTTCTCAGTCTCTGAAATGAAGGTTAAGATGTTGTCTGAGTAGGTTTAATTTCCCCCCCTAGACCAAACTTTCTTTCACCAGCTTGCGTAATCTGAAAGAATGTAAATTGGATATTTTATACTATTTCTCCTCAGAGAGTAGAAATGTTAAATTATGCTATTTTTAATGAGACAATTAAAATGCTAACCATATTCTCACCAGTAACTTTAGATAGCCAATGGAGCAAAATAGTTGATTTTTCTGCAAGTGCCTGCATGAGGAATAAATAAAATTGCACATTTTTTTTGCACTTCCCAGTTATAAATTTACCAGCATGCTACAGCTGGCCTATATACAACTGAAAGTTTACCAGTAGAAATATATTATTACTGTAATTTCTTGCCATTGCTAGTTAGCTCTCCCTGCACTAGGAAGTAAAAACTGAATGGAAGAAACATGAGTAACATGTTGTTTATACGAGTTATGTGTATTTGTTGCACTAAGGCATGCCTCTGGTGGGAAGACACATGACTTATTCCCATCTAGGAATATTTGGAGGATCTATATTTGGGATAGTGGGAAACGAAAAGTCCAGTTTCAGACAATGTTGTAGCCTTAGTTCTGGGTATTGCAAATTAGCTATTTGCCGAAAGGGTTGTAAGGACTCTTATCTCTTGTTAGCTTTTCCTTCCAGGTTGAGCTCTTCCAGATTATTTTGTTTGTTCATTCATGTGCTCACCAAAATGACTTTAAATTATGAAGACTAGGGTAGTCGGCTTTTGCTTTACTGTTCCAGTTGTGCTTTCTTGTAATTAATCTTCCTGGTTAATTGAAGGCTTCCAGGCTTTGTTATAGTGTTCTCTGAAGGGAAGAGGGAAGGGGCTGTGTGTATGCAGGCACAAGGTTGCTCGTATTTTGGATGATACTACTTAGTATCAAATAGTGTAGAAAAACACTGAGGATACTTAGTGTTTTTCTGTACAATTTGTGTCTATTCTTGTGCCAATAAACTACATTGTAATAAGCTACTGGACCCAGGAGTAAAGAAGTAAGACAGAAGGGATGGGTTTGAAATACAGTGGTACCTCGTGTTACATACTTAATCTGTCCTGGAGGTCTGTTCGTAACCGGAAACCGCTCATAACATGAGGCATGCTTTCACTAATGGCGCCTCCTGCTGCTGCTATGCCGCCAGAGTGCGACTTCCGCTCACATCCCAGGGCAAAGTTAGCAACAAGGGGCATCTACTTCTGGGTTAGTGGCGCGTGTAACCCAAAGCATTTGTAAGGGGGACGGTACATAACACGAGGTACCACTGTATGGTGTAGGAGTTAGAGCGTCCAATTAGAACTTGGGAGACTAGGGTTCTGCCTCTCAGACTAATCTGACAGTTTTATCCCTACAGAGTTGTTGTGGGAATTAAATGGGATTTGGGAGAACCATGTACTGTATTTAACCTTGAGCTCCTTAGTGAAAAAGGCTTGATATAAATACACCCATACCTTGGTTCTCGAACAGAATGCATTCCGGGAGTCTGCTCGACTCCCAGAACTGTTTGAAAACCAAGGTGCAGTTTTCAATGGGTTGCAGGAGCGTCCTGCAGCCAATCAGAAGCTGCAGAAGTCACATTGGATGTTCAGCTTCCGGAAATCATTCAGTGGCTCCCCATCTGTGGTATGCTCTTCCTAGGGAGGTTTGGTTGGTGTCTTCATTATATATCTTCAGGTGCAGGCGAAAATGTTTCTGTATAACCAGGTCTTGTCTGATTAACATTCAATGTCATTTTAAATGTGTTTGTGAGAGGGTGTGGGAGCTATTGGTTTGGTTTTTGTCTTTTGTTACATATTTATGTTCTCATTTTGTATTTTTATGTTGTGATCTTCAAATGAAGGGCAGTATACAGATTTAATAAATAAACAAAGAGAAGATTGGGAACCTAACTTAATTTCAATCTTGGTGAGCCAAGCTGTGCCCTTCCAAGGCATATGTTATAGCATAGACCCAAAGCCTTATGGTGAGTAGGGAGGCCTTCCTGTCCCACCCCCTCCTGGATCCCACAACTCTGGGCAGGTGTGCCAGATTAGTCTCAATAACATTCCATATCCAGGCTCAGGGCCTCAAAACCCAGAGTTGTCTCTGAAAATGCCCTTCACTTTCAAAGGTGCATAAGGGTGCTCACATGCCACACCTCACCACAGCCTTTCCTGCATCTGCCTGCCAACCATGTGACCAACTTAACCATGAAACCAACTTAACCAACCAACCTATTGGGTTGGGGCAACTGGCTAAAATATTTTGACATGTTTTAAATGGTTGTAATTTTGGTCCCTCTGTTTTGTTTTTGTTGTGTTGTGTTTGGTTAAATGTTTAGTTGGTGTTGGTGGTTATTTTAATTTGGGTATAACTGTAAATGTCTTCTTCTTCTTCTCCTCCTTCTTCTTCTCCTCTATTAATTTATTGGTTTATTTATAATCTGTATAAGATATTCTGTTTTTTAATGTTTGATGTTTTATTACGTTTTTATATATGCTGTAAACTACCCAGAGTGGCTGGAGAAACTTAGATAGGTTGGATTAATTTTTTAAAACAACAACAACAACAACAACAATTCAACCTAAACACCAACCCCCTCTGAACCCAATACAGACTAGGTGAAAAAACCTGCTTACCTGTGGAGGGTTGCAAAACACTCCTACTCAGCTACAAAGTGACTGGCTATCTTCAGTGCTATTTTTCTAGAAAAAAAGGTGCTGGAACTCACCATGAACACCTCCTTTGTTCTCTTAGAATGGCAATGGTGTCCACCTGAGAGGTTCTGGCTGAAAATAAAGCACTGGTTATCCTATATTAAAAAAGAGGATGGGTTGGGTAAGACAAATGTCCCAAAGAGGCAATTTAGGGGCCTGGTCAAAGCTTATAAAGCCAATGACCCCCCACCCACCCCAGGATGATAGTCTCTCCATCCAGAAAAATGCTCCCAGACACAGAGTTTCACAGCTGGCAGGAGTGGACTTAGATAATAACATACTAGCTGTATGGCAGTGCCAGAAAACATGAGCTGATCCATAAGAACATGCATATGGATTCATTGCATGTAATCATATGCACAGAGAAAAATCATGGTTTGGATGTGATGCCTGTTCAAAGCTACTCTCAAATATGGGGCAACACATTCAGGGGTGTTTTATGCACTGACTTCTGAACTTTCATGACTAAACAGGATGTGGCCATAGACGTGTGCATACTCTAAGGAATGATTTGTAGTTTGCCTTGCAGTCTTTTTGGAAATCTCAACTTTGCACTCTCACAAATCTGGCAGTCAGCTCAGAGCCATCATGTCAAACTGATTCACTGCACTAGCATCTTGATGAAACTTGCACACAGATTTGCCAGCTATTTTCCCTTGGTCTCAATCAGTCCTTATTGCCTAAGACTAAACATAAATATTTTTCTCAGATGCAATGCTTCAATGATTTAAGCAGTTATACCCTAATGAAATTATAACTCTTAACTCTAAAGGCCCTGCTATTTCGTTGCATTTAGTAGAAGTAATGGGATTTCAAAGTCAATAGCCTGTGTTTATCTGTTTGTCTTTTTTCAAACTGATTTTGATCTGATGTGATCAAAGCTGGTGTGTGGCTAATCTAACTGTTCTGCATGGAATGTAGCTAAAGTAAGTCATGATGAGCAGCTTTTAAAACTAATGGAATAAGCTAATCATGATTAATGGGATTCTAGATGGATTGGGCTAATTTAAGTGCCCAGAAAGGTTATCCAAAGCAGGCTTTGACTTTTGAAATAGTTATATGGATTTTAAATTCAATCCCATCTCCTTATTCTTTTGAAATGCATCTGGATAGATCTCTACATCACTTCATTGTGTTCCAAGGATTTGAGTTACTCAGCCATGACCTATAAATGTGTTCTGACTCATTATCTTTTTGTACCACTGCAGGCATTGGTTATGGGAAAATATATTGCTGATGGGGGACTTTGCAAACATAGCCTTGTTTCCCTTTCTCTCTAAGCACCTTCTTGAACATTCTTACATTGGTAGGAGAGAATATTACATGGCTTCACCACATGAGGAGAGTTGATTTAAGAGAGTTTTGCATTTGTCAGTGGCTAGAAAAAATTTCATTGCTCTTGTAATTTACTTTGGGAATTACTTTCTAATGCTATGATTTTATTGATTATAGTAATAGTACATCAACCCATTTTCTGATCCCTCTTAAATGCATTGGTCCTCAGCAACTAATTTCTTTTTTTGAAAGATGTGGCATCAACACCTGGGACCATGGCAAGGTCCCCTGGAATTGATAGGTGTCTTGGGACGTCTGTGCTCAGTGACAAACACAGAACACCCAATGTCGGTGTCACTGAGGGGAATTTAATGTGGCAACTTGGCACTACCCACAATTGTTGCCAGATAAGACCATGGCAATGGAGCTCATCATTTGAGAAGAGCCAACAACAACAACAGCAACAACTTATTATTTGTACCCCACCCATCTGGCTGGGTTTCCCCAGCCATTCTAGGTGGCTTCCAACAAAGATTAAAAATATATTAAAATGTCACACATTAAAAACTTCCCTGAACAGGGCTGCCTTCAGCTGTCTTCTAAATGTTAGGTAGTTGTTTGACATCTGATGGGAGGGCGTTCCACAGGGCGGGAGCCACTACCGAGAAGGCCCTCTGCCTGGTTCCCTGTAGCTTTGCTTCTTGCAATGAGGGAACTGCCAGAAGGCCCTCGGCGCTGGACCTCAGCGTCTGTGCAGAACGATGGGGGTGGAGCCGCTCCTTCAGGTATACTGGGCCGAGGCTGTTTACGGCATATATTAATATGCCTTTTCTAATAATCATAGGATGCAAATTAGTACAAATCTATTTTCTTCAGCACTAATGGAATGGAAACGTGATTCAATTAAAAGAGACTATTATTACTGGTATAATTTTAATTTAAAATTCTTGGATTTCAGGGCAAAAAGCATGTTGCTTTTTAAGATAACCAGAACATACCTGTACCCATGTCCAAAAGAAGCATTAAACATGATATATTGAATTCCAATTAATTCTAAATGGTTGAACACATAAGATTCTTCACTTTAATGGAAACAGATGAATTTTAAGATTAGTTGAATAAACAAGGAGTTGAGTGGTTCACGGGAAGGTTATAAATCTTTATGCAATAAATAAATCAGCTTCTGCTTCTTTATGTGACATCTCAAATCACAAATCTTCATCTGGAGCCATATTAGGATGTAATAGATTCTCATGTACACAGATGGTTATACATAGACTGGAATGCCTAGCCATTCCTATATTACGTTGGCGATATCTGTTCAGGATATCATTTCAAATTATATAATTTTTGAATTGTATACCAATTTTAACTCTTAGTAAGAGTAATTAGGTTTGCATGATTAAGTACTAATTGGTAAAATGAGGTTTGTAGCATGGAATTTTGAGTAAATAAAATGGGAAATGCTCCACTAAGAAAGGTAGCATGCAGAAATCAAAGGAGTTAGCAAATTTTAGGTGAGTCAAAGAAGGTACCTAGTAGATGCAGGTTTGGAGAAAAGCAGGTTTGGAGAAACTGGGAAAGCTGTTTATGCTGGCACACAGCTTGGTCATTTCTCTGATGCCAGTACCCAGCCAACCTTCTCCCATTCTGCCTAATTCTCTGTTTGCACCAAAATTCATTGGTCTGTGATAAATCACTCCTTTAACATCATGCTAGCTTTTCCATCCCTCCACTAACTTTCAGGCAGATCTAGTGAGTTTATTTATTTTGTTTCGATCTGTTTGTATGCCAGCTAATTCATTAGTTTTCAGATATTCAGCAGTTTTCATTATTCTGAAAGCAAATTATAACAAAGTCTTTAGAATGAAAGATGATTAATATGGCTATATTAGATGATGTGTTCTGATATCTAATAGAATTTATTTCCTTTTGCAGGTGACCATGGCCAATATTGGAATAAATGAAAATCATTCCCAGGAATCCTGTGAAACAATCCTATTCGCTCTCCGAATGGCAACGTGGAATCAAATTTTAGATCCATGGGTATACATTCTCCTGAGAAAAGCTGTTCTTAAAAAACTCTACAAGATTGCCAGGAGATTTTGTGGTGTGCATTTTATTAACTTGCATACGTGGGAACTTAGCTCCATTAAAAATTCTTTGAAAGTTGCTGCAGTTTCTGATTCACCAAGCAGTTCCAAGAAAACAAATCAGCAGCTACTCAGTTCAGCAGTGCAATAAAATGAAGCATGTAGAATGATGAAATGAATGGGTAATGGTGGTTAAGCTGCTCAAAAATTGGTACAGTGTGAATGGGCTGGGGTTTTTCCATCTCTTCAAAACAGGAAAACTGGCCCATTTCTGGAAATGTAACAATATGGAGCTGCTGGTTACCTTCCAAAGACTGCTATTTCTGTGACCGGCCCATCAAACCTGGGGCTGAAGACTTGTGACCCTATAAGATAACAGAAAAGCATATATGTTCTGTTAAAAACAGAACGTTAAGCATATAAGATGATGCTGGCAGCTTTGGAAATACTTTTGAATGAAAGAATATTGTTCAATGTTCTTAGGAAAAAGAAAAGAAGCAAACAAATACCTTACTGTTGAAAGTGGCAATGAATTTGTTTGTTAAGCATAACTTGGAAGATGCGCCTTGCCTTGCAAGTATAACTGTTCCACATTTTCTTGAAAATGTAGCACTCAAATTTGAAAGGCATGCATTGTAGAAGGTCAGTTTTTTGGGGAAGGGACTCAAGACCTTGCAAGCTGAACTTCTCACAACTTAAAAAAAGAAGTCCACAGATAAAAGGAGCTAGAAACAAACCTGCAAGAGTCAATACACTTATTTAACTGTTACAATCCAGGAAATCTACCCTGCTACGTTAAAGGCTAATAATTCACCAGATATAACAGCACATTTACGTTTCAATTATAACCACGTGATTATGAAAACCACTTGTTAAGTATGGTGAAACTTCAAAAATGCATTTACATATTAAAAAAAACCACCACTTGTGACATATGTGCCAAATGTTAATTTTAATCATTCAAACTGAGGTCAGAATCAAGTATGTAGCAATATTCAGGTGTGGGTTGTTGTTTCTTAAAAAAACAAAAAGTGGTTTATACAAATATGAGAATTGCAACACACTTGGGTTGAGCTGAAATAAGAATAATTGTAGCACAGAATTATGTAGATTGAATTTAAAAGAAAATAGTAGTGCAGAGCATACTGAGCTTGGCAAATCCTTTGATTAGCCAATGTTTCAGCAAGAGGTTGGAAGAGAAACTAGTTAGGATGAAGGGAGTGTGGTTTCCATTCCATAAGCAAAGGACTTTACAGAGACTCGGGAAAGCTTTTATTAAGAATGTAATAACCTGTCTGCTTAATAATCAGCCTTAAATTTCTGAGATCTAGTATCATATTGTTTAAGATGCCAGGCCCGTGCAGTACTGCATAAATATTTCAAGCCCCATAACATTCCTAGGATCTCAGGCAACTAAGTGCCTAGGATTTTTCCTGCCTTGTATATGCTTTCACAGGTTTGTTTGTCTTTTAATGAGAAAAGAGTAGTGATGGGTAAAGCAGAGATGTTAAATCTGCTCCCACTATTTGTCTGCAAGCAAAAGTAATTTGTGAGTAGAATACTCAGAAACATTTGTGGGTATTCTTACAGAAGTCACAAGCCAGGCCTGTCATAGCTTCTCTCTTCTTTTTTTGTAAAAGAAAAAGAAAAAGAAAATATGCCTGAAATAGTACCACTTGATGCTACTGCTGCTATTGCTATTACTCCTCCTGCTCTTGAACCTTGCACAGTGCTATACAGAAATAGCATCCTGCAAAAAGCTTATAGACTACACTAGACAAACGAAACAGAGTTTTGCAGAGCTTAGGGCCAAATAATTTAAGACTTGTAATATCAAATGGAGCCCACCGACCATTTATTGTGTCCTTGTCAGGTGACTTCCTGTTTTTGTATCCAAACAGGCAGCATAATTGATGTGACCAGGAGCTTTAATCACCTTTTATCTCTGAATGCTGGTGGGTTGTATTTGCTCTGGTTAGACACCTGCCTTGGTGGCTCCTACAGGTTGTGCAGGCGTAGTAAAGATGGAGTGACAGGGTTAATAGAAGGTGGAGAAAATAGCATTTTGTTAAAAAAAACCCATTGAATTGTCATATGAAGGGGTCATTAGCACTTCTATCACAGGCCCTGGAACACACTAGGCTTTATTTGTTGATAGATTACAATAGGGCCTTAATACCAAATCAATGCTAGCACTCTCTATGGTGCCACTGAAATAACTTGGTGAGTCAAATGTAAAATTGGACATTTTATTGTACAGGTCACAATGTCGGCATTTAATAAATTCCTTCAGTTTTTCATCCTTCTGGGCAAGAAGTTTGCTTCAGTGACAGCAGACTGATGTTCAACCATTCAATTGTGGAAATGCTTGACTAGAAAAAAAAAGCATTAAAAGCATTATTTTGTCATGTGAATAAATGTTATGTAGATATTTTTCTTGTGGTTAATGGTTTTTAAAAAATGTATGTATATTTGTTTTCTTCTATGTATTGATACAGAATGAATGAATGTAAGATGCAGTGCCTCATTTAAACTTATTGCTATGTGACTAGAGCAATGATTCTTTTGGAGTGGTTCTCAAGTGCTGAGAAAAGTCTATGCTGTGAAAGTCATAAGTATTAGAAACAGTCTGGGTAGCTTGTACGGTTTAAAGTTGTTCACTATGTGCTTGTAAATAAAGTTTGCTTCTTTTGAAGCTTTGTCCTTGGACAAAAAAAGAGAGTGTAGTATTTAATTTATATACTGTTTCACATTTCAAGAGAACTCTCTAAGCATTCTACAAAATCACTATAAGAAATACAATATAGCTTTCGCATTCAAAACCACACTATTACCAGCCACCATCATCATTTTACATTTTCAGTAACATAACTAAATGCCTTTAAACACACCAGTCTCCTGTGTGTTCCTTTGTATCTAGGTAGAATGCTATCTCATCTGTCACTGAAATTTGCTTCTGTATCTTCCTAGTCTATGTGACAATCCTGTATTCTGAATAAATTTGTCTTCCTGGGCATTGATAGGAAATACCGTGTTTGGAATATATCACCCCAGACCGCTTGTGGAATCTTAGAATGCTCCTTTATGCAAATAATTCTCATATAGGAAACTTCACATACTAGAGCCTAGCATTTTCCGTTGATTTACTAGTTTCCTGTGCACAGGAATTTATTTCATATGGAGGACCATTTGATGCTGTGAAGCACCACTTGCTTTAGTGGGAACTTGGCATAGTTACGCACAGTAACCTCTCTTGCTTTCAGTTTTTTCTTCTTTAGCAATCACTCGTAGCCGAGTAAGATTGTCTTCCATGAACATGGTCTTACCAGTGAGTCCATATGTGACTGTGGATGCCAATTCTGAATCCACACATCCTTCCACAGTGGGGACATAGGTTTCTGGGTGGGAATAGATCACAGAGAGGGTTTGCCAAACATGCCTTCCTCTTAGTTCGTTTCTCCTTTTCGCCCTGAGTTCTGCTTCTTCAAAGTCCATTGATGACTTTTGTAAAGGCTGTTCTCCAGCTGGTGTACTCTCAGGCCAATGTTTATCAGTTATCAGTGCTTATGTTACATTTTTAAAGATTTGCCTTGAGAGCATCTTTAAACCTCTTTTGTTGTCCACTGGTATTTCCATTCTTGAGTTGGGAATAGAATACCGTAGTTGCTTTGGAAGACAATAATCAGGCATCTGAGAAACATTACCAGTCCAATGGAGTTGATGTTGAAACATTGCTTCGACACTGGTGATCTTTGCTTCTTCCAGTACACTGACATTAGTTCACCTGTCTTCCCAAGTGATGTGCTTTCAGTTTATGGGTCAAATGAAATGACATGCAGGTTTTCTGAAGCTACAGCTTTGCAGCACAATCAAGGCTCAAGATCTATGAAAAAGTTTGGATTCAGTGGGTCTTGGGCTCTCCCCACTGTGCACCCACCTCCCTAAATTTAAATCAGTGTGAGACTGGTTTAGATTCTCCCATTGACTCCACTGCCACTATTTCATGTGCATTTTGTGCAAGTAGTATGTATGTGTTTGTCATCTTTGTGTCAGAGGGGCAGCTCTGTTAGCCTATTGCAGCAAAACCAACAAGCGCTTTAAAGATGCACGAATGCATTATGACTTAACCTGTCATTGATTAGAGCCTATTTCAATAGCTGCAGAATGGCTAGAAGCGTCTCTCTGGCAGAGTTCTTTCCTATCACCAACCAACCAATGCTTTTAACTGGAAATGCTAGCGCTTGAACATGAGACGGTCTGCATGGGTATGTACTGTGACAGGACAATGCTAAACTACAGGTGCACATCAAGCTAAAGAAAAAGGTCACTAGTTGAAAGCGAAACAACTTGCTTCATTTTAGCACAGTGAATGATAGCTCTTCGCATAACAAACTGTAGTCGAGACTCATGTTTGCCATATGAAACTGATGCATAATCGTTTCATGGTGACTCGTCTACAGCCAAAAACAACCAGTGAATCTGCTATAAATCTCATCAAAAGAAAGAAAGTCAGAAAACACATGTGTTGAAAAATATTCTCTGTAGTAGTTCCATGAAAGATTGAGTAAATATAATCAAGTGTTTTATACACACTTCTGTATATCACGCAGGGCCAAATTAGCTGAGATGCCATCGACAGAATTAGCTATTGTGCGAGAGGCTTTTTGAAAGTAACAGCAAGTGTATGGGGGCCTGCTCCGGATTGGGACCTGGCAGGACCGAGATCTGTATCTGGACCCCTACACTTGGTTTGGGATTGGAAGAAAATTTCCCATTCATTTTTATGGACCTTTTTCTGATGCAAATAGGAAGCCCAGTATGGATCAGTACCACTGCAGAGGGAAACTCTACCTCCCTGCAAGGAGCCCAATCTGCATATTCAGTTTGTATTCAGAGAGAACCATATCCCACGTCTTGTGTTTCTTGTGACTGAATCATCCACTCCTCAGAGCTCCCTACCGGAGGTGTATCCTTGGTACACAACACCATGTTGTCCCTCAAGAGGTTTTTCTCATGAAGTATTCTTTTCCTCAGAGGGATGCTGTCCTTTCCTGAGATCCTCATTCTCCATGGCAGAAGACCCATCACTCTGGGAGTAGGATGCTGCTATGACAGTTTGAAGGCCTTGTAAGAAACCTCTCAGCTTCTCCAAGTCCTTGGTGTTAAGATTATCTGAGAGCCAGGAACCCATTTAACTGAATACACATCTATGATTTTGTCTGTCTGGCAGATAGTCATACATATGATGGGAGAATACACTGGCTAAGCCTCACATCTTTGCTGGCTTCCCACCTTCATAACAGTTTTATTATTCAGAAATCTTTACTTGCAAAGCTAAATTATGAAGACCAAGGGTAGGAAGTTTCACAGTTGCTGAACTTATTTCTTGCTCTGTTGCTGAACTCACACAGGTGCTTAATGTGCCTGCCTGCCTAACTGTTTGCCTCAACATTTTGTTATTGCAACCAAGATGCTTCAACAGCTGAGGTTCCCCTCATGGATGTGGAACTTGACAATGATAATACAGCATGTCTGGCTTGACTGAATATGAGAGAAGTTCTTGAAACCAAAAATCACAAAACATCTGGGTGGGGGGAGGGGAGGGGAGCTGGATTTGATGAAAACTGGCTAACAGCAAAAGCTCTTCTCTCTGACAAATCTCATCTACATATTTTCCGTGTGGAGTGAAACCAGATGGGGGAATGGTAGAGAGCCAACAAATGTATTCTTTATGGATTTAAAAAGATATTTGACTGATTCCAGTGTTGGAGACAAATCACACTGATGAGGCTCAGATTGTCCTTGTGACATAAGAAATCTGTAAGGTAATTATAATACTATTATCTGCATTAGAACAAGATCAGGTTAATGAATAAAGAAAAAAAATAGTAACAAGAACAGCTGATTTTAAGTACTTAGCCATCCTTGAATTATTTTACTGGAACACCTAATCATCATTTCTGCTCTTCTTTCCCCCTGTGTACATCTACCTTTATCACATTTCCAAGCAAGGAAGACTCAAGAAAGATTGTGCTTGGTACAATCCTTCATTCGGTGTACTGGACCTTGAGTAGAAGTTTTCAAATTTCCCAGTAGTCCCATTCTCATAACTGATCTAATAGCGTTCCAGGGAAGATATCATTCATACAACTACACAAAGTTAACCTTTACAGTAAGCCCCAGTGACCATTCACAACTAGCTTTTAAAAAACACAACCACATGACCTGAATATCAGAAGGTGGTGAAATCACCAGGGCAGTTTCTGGGAACAATGAGCCTCTGTTTTAAAAAAGGAAGAGGAATTGCTTAATTTATTAACGGGGGAATCATATAATGTGTTTTACCCAATGTCTCCATTGTGGCAGATTTCATTTCTTTCTCTCTTTTAGGAATGATTTCAAGTGGTGATGGCTTCTCTGTGGGTTGGAAAGGTGACAGAAGTTCAAGAAAATGTGCACTTGGTGGATTGCTCTAGCTTTTGCACTGTACACAGCTCAGCTACCATGTTTGGGGTCAAGACAAATCTCCCAGCCTTTATTTATCTTGGTGTACAGCAAGGGTAGGAAATCACAGCAGATTAATCACCTCCTCCACAAATATAATGTTGTGAATTATAGGGAACATTGCTATACTTCCAATATGAATCAGATGAAGGCTTTTGCTGTAATCTCTCAAAGGAAATTTACTCAATTATTTCTCATTTGTGTGTTGGAATATGCTCGATGATTTTGCAGATCTTGCTTCTAAATGTCCCCGTGAACCACAACTATCCAGAAATCCTTCTTCCATTTGAATTGAACACGTAAACTGCAATCACTTCACAGTCAACCTGAGGTGTGCACATTTGACACATCCATGACTCATGGACAGATGACAGCATCATGAATCAGAGTTGGGGATGCTGCATGTGCATGGAAACCAAACAGGTAATGGGTGAAGACATCCCTCCTTTGGTGTGTACAGTAACAGGACCTGAAACCCAGTGGGGATGAAGGTAGAGGGACGACCTTGCTGCACTTTAAGCCACTAATGTTTGCATAGCTTTGAGCTAGCTTCATAAATGTTTTTATGATTTCTGTCACTTCTCCTGTTGGCAGATTGGTTCTGTTTTCTTTAAAGAGTCCATGGTCAGTCTGAAAACAACACAACACAACACAGCGATTTCCCTGGCACCAGCTTCATTGCCTTGTAGGTGGCAGATGTAAACAGTTTCATTTGCTCATGCTTTTAATGAACAGTGATAATGATTTTTATTGCCTCTGCTGAAATTTACTGTTGTATTGTTTCATTGCTGCAATATTATTTTGCCTTTTACTGATTTTCTGCTCTTTTAGTGGTGTTCTGTAATACACTTATGAATTAATTATAAAGCAATAAAATAAGCATAAGTGTAGATTAAAAATAGGGATGTAACTGTCTCCATTCTCTCTCTTTATGAGAGAGACTTTCTTCCCCTGTCTGACTTTGTCCAACCTGTCAATTTCCTGTTTCTTCCTGCACACACCTTTCATCATGCTCCAATTGTGTTGCTTTCTCCAAGCTCTGATGGCTTTCCAGTGGAGAGGAATTTCTATGTCCTAATTAGCTTCCATTTAGAAAGCATTAAATGACCATCCTAGACTATTAATATCAAATGAATGGTAACTCAGGAGCCCATACACTCAGTTAATATCTGTTTCCCACAATGAAATGAAAGTAATATGACACAACAGTGCTTAAGGTTGTAGTCAACTAACTTTTACTCTGAAATTAATGACTATAACAAAGGTAGGTCCATTAATTTCATTGGATCTACTCTGAGTAAAACCCAGTTGATTAGAACCCT